AGGTGACCCTATAGCCCCCGTACCTTTGCCCGCAATGCCTGTCCCAAGAGAGCAACTCAGTGGGACTAAAGAGCCACCTGCTCACCCTCTCATGCCTCTGAAGACAAAAACTGAATTGCAGCTGAAGGGATTTAGATTAGACTCACAGACTGCCAAGCCAAGAGCCGCCAGGGCCCAGGTGTGAGTCCATTCCTCCGGGCTGACGAGGGGCAGCAGGAGGGCCTGATGAATTGTACCTGCCAGAATTTGCACTTGAGCCTGGGTTGGAAGGTGGAGTAAGGCCAAATGATGCCTAGTGCTTTCTGAGCCTGAGAGAGTCCTCTTCCTCCAATCTGGGAGGCCCCCAGCTCTTGCTCCAGACCTCCAGCAGCTCCTCACACCACCTGGATATAAAGGTAAACTTCTCCCTGGCATTGGAGGCCTCCAGAGCCTGGGGAGCCCTGTGTCCCCAGCCACACACCCCCCCTCTTTGTTGACACACGCTGGGTGATAGCCAGACCTTCCTCTCGGTCTGGTAAATGGTCACTGCTGCTGAGGCTTCTGTGCTTCTGCTGGGATGCCAAGTACTTTGGCTTTGGACCCCTCTTCTAGGAAGCCCTCTCAGACTATTCAAGTCTCCTCAACCAAGTCAGGACCTTTTTCGGGGACACGACCACCTTCCCCCACTCTTGATGGTCTCTTGCAGTCAGCTCCTTGCTGAGGGTCTTGGCCTCTCTCCCGGAGGAACAGCAAAGGTCCTGCAGAGTGACCTGGGGCAGGGCCAGCCAGGTTGGAGGTTTCCTGGAGGTGGAAGGCCCTGACAGAGGGAGTCAATTTGGCATCAAATGTTCTGAAACTGCTCTTGTGGAGGACAGAGGCTTGGAGCAGATCTGACTCGTTCCTGTCACCACCTTGCCTGGCTACCGGCCCAGCCAGAGGGCCTATTTGGACACCTTGCTAGCAGATGGCCCTGCAAAAGGAAACATCCGTTTTGGGCTGTGCTCTCCAATATGGTAGCCACTGGCCACATGTGCTCTTAGGCACTTGAAATGTAGCTACTCTGAATCAAGATATGCTGTAAGTGTAAAATGCACAGTGGATTTCAAAAACTGAGCACAAAATACGATGTAAAATATCTCGTTAATTTTTTTTACATGGATGACATGTTGAAATGATAATTACTTTGGACATAGTTAAGTTAAATAAAATATATTATTCAAATTACATGCACTTATTTCTTTTTACTACTTATCTATTTATTAATATTTCTTCACTTTCTTTTTTTTAAGTTTATTTATTTACTTAAATCTCTTCACCCAACCTGGGGCTTGAACTCACAACCCCAAGATCAAGAGTCATATGCCCTACAAGCTGAGCCAGCTGGGCACCTCCCCCCTCTTTTTATCTTTTAAAATAGAGCTACTAGAAAATTTTGAATTACATATGTGACTCACATTCTATCATTTCCGTTTTACAGAGGAGAAGACAAGCTTCCGAGGACTTGAGTGACATGTGGTGCAACGCCCAGGTAGGAAGGCGCTGGTGCATCTGCCCTAAGTTTGTGAGCAGAAAAGGCTCCAAAAGGGATGTGTGTCCCAGGCCCTGCCTCTGGCTGCAGGACAAATACTAGAACCTTCCATGCTCCAGAATCACATTCCCCACTCCCCTCAGAGTTATGACCAACCAGCAGTTTATTCTGCCTTTGAGGGTGAGTTCAGAGTTGATGTCGTGACCCGTGGACATGGGCGGCTCCCAAGATGTCCCGGCTGGACAGATGCTGTCGTGTGACCCCATCCTCAGGCCAGCCCTAGCAGCAGTCCAAGCCTCCGTCCTGCTCCAGGACCTCTCAGCTTGGACATCAGTGAGGCGCCCTCCCAGACATCAGCTCTGACAGCGGGGCTGTCAGCTTACCTTGCAACCTTCACCTCAGACCCATTTCTGTCTGTATCCCCAACCTTTGCTCAGGCCACAGGCCACTCTCCTGAGAGGCGAGCACTCTGGCCGGTGGGTGTCCCTGCCTAGGCCCATGGGGACCCCTCAGGCCTCTGCAGCAGTGGGCAGCTATAGAGGTAACTACAAGGTCGGGAGCAGGTCCTCTGCAGACAGAACTCCAGGGGGCCGGGTCTTTACAGCCACCCCATCTCCTGAGGCGCAGAGAAGAGATGCTCTGAGACCCAGGGCCTGGCTCCTCCAGGTTTGGAGGGAAGGCGATGCCCCTAGCCTGGGCACAGATTCAGCATGCTGTGGCCACTGGCCTGGGCCACCAGCCCAGATGTTTTCGAGGGCCACCCCGGCTGCCAGGGAAGGGCTCTCTGGGATCTTGGGAGCAAACAGAGCCCATCTTGTCTTGAGTGCTCCAAATGTGCCCTGCATCAGCCCCAGGGGGCAGTCTTGCCCTGGGTAAGGATTCAGGACACAGTCCTGGGTCCCTTGAGGCCAGGTTTGCTGGAGGCATTTGGGATCCTGCTGGGGCATCCCATTTGGATGTAAAAGGGTCAAATCTTGGGCTGTGATTATAAGGAGGCCACTTTTGATTTTAAAATAGTTTTAAATTAAAAAAAAACGAATTAAGGGGAAGGATTTAATGGGTGAGGATTCTTGGCAGCCTTGGGATAATTACTGTAACACCAAGCTCCCATTTCTCAAGTCCTTGGTGGCGCCAAGCCTGTCATGCCAGCATCCCTGGGAAGGGCTGGCCAAGGTCCCTGGCATGGCCAGTGGCATCGGCCTGTTGTTCCAACTCCACGTGGCCACCACCATACCCAACCCTCCCTCCCTTGGGCCCATTCTCTCTGGCATAGGGCAGGAGAGTTACGGGACAGATCCAGGTTCAAATCCTACTCTACCACTTGCCCACTTACCCTCCTCCAGCCTCATCATCCTCGTCTGTAAAATGGGGGTGAAGACAGTTCTTGGATCCTAAGGAGAGAGTCAGACATCTGCCCCTGGCCCTTGGCCTGCCTTCAGAGTCAGCTTTCCTAGCATTACTTCTCTGCCACTGCCTGCCTTCAAGCTGAGCCAAAGCTGTCCTCGAGACACTACCCTTCTTAAGGTCTCCCGAAACACTGAGGGAGAAAGTGGCCCTTTACATCTGGCCAGGGGCACCTGCAGGGGCAAAGCTGTGCCTGGTCTCCCGCCGAGGGGCCCCGTCCCTTCTCTGCAAAGGCCCTGACCCAGCACCCCCTCAGCAATGTATCTTTCTGCCTCAAATTTGCTGTCCCCGTTGTCACCTCTCCTCAGGCCTTAGCCCCCTGGCTGGCTGCTGCCTGCCCCTGCCCCTCTACCTGGGTTACAGTGAGCGGGGTCTCTAAACCCATCCGTGCGCTTTCCTTAGGGGGCCCCCCAGATCTGGGCTGGGCTGAGGCGAGGCAAGGAGGCACCCACTCTCAGGCTCCTATAAATGCAGGGTCTGGCCCGAGCATGCATGCCTCATCCTGGCCCCAGCCCTGCCCCAGACTCCTCAGCAGCCCCCAGTGGGTCCCTTTCCCCTGGTGTTTTGAACCCTCTTCTGTGGCTTTTCTCCCACTTCTCAGCAGCTCCTGCTTAGGGTTCCCTGCTTTTCCTCCTCTGGACATCCTGGGCCCCCTCCTTCCTGTGTACCCCTCCCCTCTAGCCCCTAGACCTCACTATCACCTTGAATTAAGATACGCCAAAGCAGCCCAACCCTTTACCTCTCCCCTGGCTAAGACTGCAACATCCCACTAATTCCTAGCGCTCCCCTCCGGGGCCCTGTGAGTGCTCCTGCGCAGGCTCCCCAGTCCGGGTGGAGGCCCGGGTACTTGGATCCTCTTTCCTTCCCTGATAGCCAAACCCTATCTTTGGGCTGCACCTCCTAAACTTTTCTCATCCAGCCCTGCTGCTCCTCACCTCTACCATCTTGTCCCCTTTTTCTGGGCCACTGGCCCTTGCCTCCTCCCTGCTGCCACTCCTGCCTGCTCATCCCCACCCCCAGGGATCTTCCTCCATTGCACATGGGGCTCTGCCCCGCCTCCACCCCAGACTCTTTGTGACTCCCCATTAGCCTCGGGAGAGCCCCAGCCTCTCCCCCAGGGCTCCAGCGTCCCTGGTCCTTTTCAGCTCCACACTCTGGGCTCTCTCGCCTTTCGGCTTGCACACCTGCTTCCGCCTGGCTTCAAACTTTCTGGTCCCTTCTCTCTGCCTTGGAATACTGGCTGGAATTTAATTTTCTTCACGAGATGAGGTAGGCCCTCCCCCTTTTCTCTGCTCCCATGGCCCCTGCCATGCTCTCTCTATAACCCTCACCTGCTCAGTACCCTTGTCCCTCCCCACATACTCTGCTTGACTCACCACCGTCAGTTCCACCAATGTCTAGAACAGTCCTTGATACAGCACAGGCACTCAGTGGGTATTTGTTGCATGAATAAATGAGTTTATTAATCTTTGCATGGATGGATTGTCATGTAGGTGGCTTTGGTGGCTGGGTGGGGGATGAGGGAAGATACTACAGAAGCTGTAGCCAGTGTCTGCCCAGGGCAGCAGGTGGCTGGAGGGAAAAGGCCATGTCATCTCCAGCAGGCTGGGTGCTGATTTTAATGGCCCGGCAGTGAGGTGCGTGCATGGCAGAGGCCTGCAAAAGAGGTAACGCTGAGAGGGCAGCCCTGCCCCCCTCTAATTATTGCTTGAGTCTTCCTGGCAATGCCAGCTGCCTGCCCCAGAGAGCTGGGTCTCGTCCATCACAGTGTGAGCTCAGGGTGGGGCTGCTGCCGCTGCCAGTGGGGCAAGAAGGGAGGAGAGTCCCAGGGGCCTTTGGGTCTTGGAGGGCAGAGGCAGCCTTCGGCTTGGACCATGCTCAGCTCCTGTCCTTCCTGTTCTTAGCTGAAGGGTGTCCCCTGACTTGAGGGTCCCATCAAGAATCCTCCAGGGTGGCCACTGAGCAAGCCAGCTGAAGGGGGTGGTCCACAGCACCCCCCAGGCAGGGAGTCTCGGATGGTTTGGTGTCTGCTGACGTGGAAGCCCTTGGGAAAATGGTGCTCTAGTGGCCGGCTGGGCAGGCGGGCGGCTCAGGCCCGGAAAGAGGCCTTGACCACACGACCCTTCAGTGGCTGTGGCGGCCGGAAGTTGTTCACCATGTGGATCCTCTCGTCGTCCTCTGAGGTGAAAAGCAGGCTCCGGAATTTCTCCATCTTGAGAAGGTGGAAGAGATACTCAGGGCAGAATGGGGGTGCTGTGGTCCTCTCTGATCCCAGACACATCTTCTGGCATACCTGGCCAATCAGCTGCACCTCTCCCGCCTCTTACCCCGAGGTCCTGTTCCCCCTCCTCCCTACTTGTTCTCTCTTTGGGATCCTGACCTCAGTTATCGACCCACGAAGGGGCCTCTGAACCTGGCCCCTGCTCCACCTAGCTCCAGTTCCAAATCCATCTAGCTAAGACTTATCAACAGATGCAGGATTCCGATTCTAACACAGTAGGGATCATCCTAGGATCCAGGGATCTCGCCTCTTAGCCTGTGGTTATGTCCTAATGACTAACAATCAAGCGACCTCCCAACCAAGAATCTAAATGTTAAAAAAAAAAAAAAAAAGGGGGGGGGGGGGGGGGGCAGCGCCTGGCTGGCTCAGTCCATAGAGCATCCAACCCTTGATCTCAGGGTCATGAGTTCAAAGCCCACGTTGGGCATGGAGCCTACTTTAAAACAAAACAAAACAAAACAAAAAAGGAATCTAAATGTTTATTAGCAAAAGATGGGAGCCTTGATGGTGGGACCATAAGCTGTAGCTTTGCTGGTTGGGAGAGTCGCACTCCCCGGGAGGGACCCTGAGTGCCATATCCTCCCATCTCACCCGGGACTCTGGGAGAACTCACCTGCCTCTCGGAGATGCTGATAGGTTCCCGGAGCACGATCCAGGTGACGCTCTCACTCAGCGGGGGTGTCGTCAGGGAGCCCGGGTAGGTCCAGTAGTGCCGGCTGGCAGGCAGGAGGCACTCGGGGTTGAAGCAGCTGAACTGGGCTTTGGTTCCCTGGGGCAGGGCAGGCAAACCCAGGAATCAGCATAGACCTGCCACTAGGACCAAACCAGCATCCTCCCCACTCTTTGCTGTCGGCAGGATTTAGGCTTTTCCTTGGCCCACTGATGCAAATGTGGGCATAGGTCTGTGATACCAGATGCCGTCTCCCCCCGGGGCCTGGGCCCTGTCCACCTGTTTGCCAATATGTAAACCCTGCTGCTCCTAGAGCCCTCTGGTCTCCACGTTCTGTCTCTGCCACATCCTCCAACTGCCCTTAGCTGCCTGTAGGATGGCCACTGACTCAACAAGCATCTTACCAGTCCTATACCCAACCGGGTGATGTGCTGGGTACTCCGCGAGGCCACTGACGCTGGGGAAGAGGAGTCATTTGCAGGGCACTGTGGCTGCTCGCCCGTACCCTTCATCTCAGCAGGGGTTTGCTGTCAGATTGGAGCGGTGGTTGGGCTCCCCCTCTGCTCCAGCCTCTTCCTCCCTCCCGCCAGGCTGCTCTGGGTCAGGGGTATGGACCCCCAGTCTCACCTTAAACCGAACCATGTAGAGCGCATCTGTCAGACGGTGCATGCTGGGGTGCTCATCCCCTGTCTGTCAGGGAAAGGGCAGAGTGAGCCCAGCACCCACCATGTTTGGAACGAGGGGCAGCGCCAGGCTTCCTGTGCCCCTCTTGGCCCAAGTAACCACCTCTTACCTCCAAGAAGACACCGACCACAGCCAGGCCATCAGGTGCTGAGGCTGCCTCCCCAAAGGTGCTGTACTTCTTGGCGTTCCAATGAACAAGGTGCAGCTACAGGGGCAAGGCCAGTGCTTAGCGCCTCCGAGGGGCCATGGGAGCTCAGAGCCAGGCTTCCCTCACTCCCACTGGACTCCTGGCCCCTCTGCAAGAGGGGTAAGGCTGTTAAACCTCCCAGGCCTCTGGCAGGGCCCCGTAGAGCCCCCAGTGGTCGCAGATAACATCCACACTGCTCTGGGCCCAACCCTTTCCTGAGCCCCAGGTGACCTACAGAGGAATCTGGTTCGGGCCTTGCCCTCAGTGAGCTGTGAGATAGATAATGGCCCTCCCGAGTGACACATCTTGGAGGAGGCGGTGCCTGCCGCTGAGACCCAAGAGTAAGTAGGGGCTTCTCAGATGGAACCCTGGTGAAAAGCACCCCAGGCAGAGAGAATAGCGTAGGCAAAAGCCTGGAGGTTTGAAAGAGCTGGGCGTGGACAGGAGATTCATCATATGCCGGCCCATTTGGGGAGAGGTCAGGAAAAGACGAGGCCAGGCAAAGCCACTACGTGCAGGGCCTTGAATGCCAGGCTCAGTCCATAAGGGGTTGTTAGCAAGCGTGTGGTGGGACTGGACTTGTCCTTCAGAAAACTCCTTCTGGATATACAGACCATATCCGTGGGCAGAGTTCAGTTGGAAGACGCTGTGCTGGCGGCAGGTGGAAGGTGTCTCTCCCAAACCCCCTGGGTGCCCCTCCTCGCCCTCTCCAGAGCCCCACACCAAGCACCCATCAAGTCCCTGACTCTCCTGTCCTTCCCCAAACAGTACAGGGATTCCGGTAGAGGGCCCTTACCTCACTGGGGAATGACTTGCCATCTACCGTGTGCTCTGAGCCCACACTGTGCTTCTTGCCCCAGTGGAAATGGAGCTGCTTGAGCCGATACGGCCCATCCAGGGGCCCCCCAGTCACAACTGCAGGAAGAAGTGGGGTGTGTAGTCACTGATGTGAGAGATCCCAGACCTCCCAGCAGGTGGTGGTGCCAGGCCCAGGCCAGTGTCCAGGGGCGGGAGAAAGTTTTCATTTGGAAAATTCGTTGGGCTAACTAGGCTTGGGTCCATCCTCACCCAGTCCCCTGGGCGCTGTAGGTGGCAGAGGTCGTGACAGAGTACACCAGTCCACTTGGCCATCCTCCCCATTCCCGCCCACTTTTGCGTGGAAGCTGGGACCTTGTCTCCCAGGCCCCCATTTCCGCTAACAAGAGGCCTCTCGTGTCTGGATCCCTGACCCAGGGCTAGATTAGAAGGATTCTTGTGTTGAGTCCTTCTAGAAGCCTGATAGAAGTCATGAGGGACAGAACCTATTGTTATCTCTATCTTATAATGGAGGGAAATGAGGCACAGGAAGGGCAAGGCATTTGGCCAAGGCCACACAGCAAGGCACGGAGCTAGGATATCAGCCTGTATATCCTTCGTAAGTCCAGAGCCCAAGCCCCTACTCGCCAGATCACACTGTCTCCCTAGAGCCTTGAGCATTCTCAGGACCTGGTGGTGTCCAGAGACCAGCTCCTGAGGGTCCACACTCTGATGGCCAGGCCCAGGCCATCTTCTGTGGCCTCTTGGGAGGTCCCTACTTGTGCTGGTTTTGTGACTTTCTCACCCTGATACCTGGTGAGCTGGGGCCATGCACAAGGCCTCCTGGGACTGATTGAATTTCCAGGTGAAAGGGATCTGGCAGTGGAGGGAGCCCCGGTGAGGCCTGAATGTGAACCCTTGGATCAGGTGACGGCCCTAGGCTCAGAGTTCCCCTCTGAGGCCCGTCCAGGATGGGTGACCAGGGCAGGGCCTTGCCCCTTGTGGGCCCTGTGAGGAGGAGGATGACCTAACAGTCCAAAGGCCCTTCCTTGCTACCTGGCCTTACCCAAGAAGCAGGATCTGTCCATAGCATTGCTAGAGGGTTGACAAAGGGAGTCTGGGAGGGTGGCCATGGCAGGGGCCCGATCAGGCTGTCCCATCCTGGGGACGCAGTAGCAGGAGGGCCTGCAGGCTGAGCTCCCTGATGTGACCTCTGGGGCCCCACCCGTCTGAGCATGCCCCACCTGGGATGCTGCAGTGTGGTCTCTCAGGGAGTAAACTCCCTACCTAACCCCTTGAACCTGGCTCCTTTAGCCCTCTCCCTCTGTCCTGACTATAGAATATACTATCACTCACTCTGCACTCACCATGTATTCAGCACTCTGCTGGCACGAACCCGATAGCGTTCTTGAGAGGAACATGTTATCACCCCCGTTGGACAGATGTATGGCTGAGGCTCAGAAAAGCAGGTGTCCTGCCCAAAGTCACACAGCTGGCGAGTGGCAGAGCCCCATCTGTCTCACTCCCAAGCTCAATCTCTTTCCACTGACTCCCTGCCCCCTCAAGCCTGGGCATTCTGGTAGGAGATGAAGCCCCAGTCAGGCCTCAAAGTAAGCCACTGGATCAGTGATCCAGAGGCATGCCCCCTTGGACTCCCTCCCCACTTCCCGACAACAATGGCCTTCACTAAGCTACTGAGGTGAAGCCTCAATGCCCTCTGAAGGCTGTTACAAGGTACAATCATATGAAAACTGTTCCTTTAAAAACTGTCATTTAGGGTCATCAAGAGCCCCATGTCCCTCCCCCAAGCTCTGGTGAGAGGCTTTATTAAAAATTCTGTATCAGGAAGGCTTGTCTCTCTTCTGAGGGTCTGCTGGATTTCTTCCCTTCTGCAATAAGAACTATAGCTGGTCCTCTTTCCCTTTTTTCCTAGCCTACCAGGGAACTCAGGGCTAAGCAACTAAGATCACTCTTTTCTGGCTTCCCTCCTCTTCTCTGCTTTTTGATTTTCTGCTTGAAACATTAAGCTCCCTTGTGTGCTTTCATTGTGTGTGGGGGGGGGGGAGGGAGAGGTGGAGAGGGGCAGAGTACCAATTACTTCCTTACATAAGAAACTCTAGCAGCTTCCCTCCTTGCTCCACTCCACCCTTCATAGACCTGTTCATGAGAATAAAATCTCTTCACTGAGGAGCACTCCTGAGGCTTCTGCCTAGGAATTTATTATGAAAGAAGCCAGACTCTCAACCCAGGGTAAACAGATGTCGTAAGTTCCTGCTGGCCTCCTCTGGCCCAAGCTGGTTGGAATCTTGGGGTTGAGGATGGTCTGGAGACAAGACCTTTGGAGTTGGACCAAGCTGATTTGGGCTTCCCCGCTCATTGAGTCTCTGCTTGCCCATCTTAGAGGGGGGTTCTTGAGAGGAATAAAAGAGCGTCCTAAGACCTTAGCAAGGGACCTGGCACACAGAACACTCTAGCTCCCTTCTGTCTCTGGGCTTGGCCAGATCACACAGGGAGGAGGGCTTGGCCTTCGGCCACACAGGAGGTCAGTGACAGGGCCTGGAGTGAAAACAAACCTGCCCTAAAGCAGTAAATGGAAGATAAGGAAGGGAATTCACTTTTCTTGAGGATCTGCTGTATGCCAGCACTACAAACATCACTTCCGTTTTTCATTTTTCCTCTCTATGACCCCAGAGAGGAAAAGAGGGTCTTTTTGCTCCCATTGTTTGCATAAGGAGACTGAGGCTCAGCACAAGGCTTCAGAGCTGGTGAGAGGTAGAGCCTTCCTTCCCCACCACAACAACCTGCCCTTCCTGAGACTGCCCCTACGCAGGGTGAGGACCTCAGTGGGAGGGGGGCCAGCCTCTGGAAAGGGCCACTTACCAGTTCGGTCATCGCTGTCATTGAAGTCCACCTGGACAGAGTGGCCATTGTTGGCGATGCTGAGGGATATGCAGGCCTCATAGGAAAGCTCCAGTGGCTTCAGGCTGGGCGAGTACACAGCCTGGCTGGACACAATATTGATTGGTGACTGGCGGTCTCCCTGGGCAATGGGATACAGCTTGTGCCACTGTGAGGGGCCTGCAGGTGGGGAGAGGGCAAGGGCTCGGGCTAGCTGGGATCTCTGGGCTGCAGGCCGAGGACGCCCGGGGGGGGACCATCTCCTGATATCCCTTCAGATGTCAGCCCCTGCTTTGGAGCTGTCCAGTCCCAGCTCAGCCACTTCCCTCTCTGCCTCCATTTCCTTTCTGTAAAATGGCCTCACTAAAGCTCTCCTCCCAGAGGTGATAGGAGGCCCAGAGAGGTAATTCATGGAAGGGAGCACAATATAGCCACAAGCCCAGGGGCCGCTCTAGGCAGGGACTCCTCCGCAACTCCCAGTGCACGCTCACAGTGGACCCCAGGCCTCCGAAGTCCCTGACCTGACCGTACCAGGTATCTGACCTCTTCCCACACCTTGAGCACATTCGTGTTGATGTTTGTGATAACAATAACAAAAGCTAAAGTCAACCTAGCTTTGGCTCTGTGACATGCACTTGCTCCTCACAACCGTACCGTGAAGCAGAAAGCAGCATGATCCCCATTTCATAGATGAAAGAACTGAGGACCATTCATGCACACGCGCGCGCGCACACACACACACACACATACACGCACACACACACACACAAACTTGGGTACGGATATAAACATACAGCATGTGCATGGGCAGCCCAACTGCCCTCCCCTGGCATCTACCTACAGATCTATAGAGATTTTCATATGTGCACACATATGTGTACAGTGACCTGGGTTTGTCAGGCCCAGAGTGGCCAGGCCCAGCAACATACATGAGTACAAACACACACAGTCCTGCTGACTGCACCTGATACACGCATATGTACCATCACACACAAACACCCACTGTTGCAAACCCAGGTCTGCAATAAAAGACTATAGCAAAACACATGCTCGTGCAAGCACGCGCACGCACACACACACACACACACACACCTGCGTGCACACCCACGAGCGCCCACCACCTGCCTCCCAGAGGCTCCATCTGCAGCCGAGAGGCTCGGCATCTCCCTGGGGAACATCCTGAGATACAACCTATTTTTAGAGCTTTTGCCGGCTGGTGCTTCTCCCCGTTTTTGGCTTCTTAAGTTTTCCTGAGAAAACAGCAGCAGGTGCCGACAGAGCTGTGTCCCCAGTGGATGACTCAGAATCGTGGCCCAGACCCACTGGGTTATTTTTGAAGTCCTGCGAGCATGCTGCATGCCCGCACCTCTATCTTCTGTCCTTCCCTCCCTCGTTGCCCCTAGACTGAATGACCCAGGTCTGGCTGGGTGAGGGGCAGTGGCCTGAGGGTGGCAAGCCTGTGGGGCAGGCCATGTAGGATACTGTATGTTCAGAGCTGGTGGGCAGAACTAACAGTCAGGGGACTCTGCTTCTGGAGGAAGCACCCAGAACCTAGTTCAGAGCAGGTGCTAGAGGGAAGATGATCTTCTATGTGTTCTCCCCACCTGCCCCTTCTCTTCCTCTCTCTCCAACTCTGCTGGTCTCTGTTACCTTTTTCTGAATGTCTCTAGCTTTTCCATGCCCAGATCTGTAGGTCTCCCCTCCAAAGTATGCTCCTATGTCCCTATGTCCAAGAAGGAACCAGACACATCACTGCACCTCCCCAGCTCCCTCTGGCCCACTGCAACCTCCTAACCCCGAGACTAGCCCAGGACCTCCACCCTCCCTCAAAGAGTGATTCCCAGAAAAGGGGAGATGAGGAGTGTTCCTCTCACCAGCACTTCCCTGTCTCCCCACATCCACCTACCCTGACGGGGGTTTCCTTCTGATAGCGTGGATCTTGGGTCTTCATTTTTCACCGGATGGAGTCGGGGAGCCCTTACCCCACACCCCCACCCCAGCTTGGTAAAAAATAACCCAAAATGTAATTGACCTGCCCCAGACCCACATTCAAGCCATCTGGCTCTCACCTCTGCCTCTTCTCCCTTCCTCTGCATCTTAAGGAAACTGAGGCAGGATCAGGGAGCTATTTTCCCAGACAGGAGGTTGATGTGGGCCATGCGCTCCCACGCTTCACACCAGGACGTGCTCAGACACCCTACTTGATGTAGACACCCAGACACACGCGTGCACCCCCAAATTCCCCCTTCCCTCACATACCTGCCGACACAAAAGCTCCGATACTTCCGCGGGGAAACTCTCTCGGGGACACCGCGCCCTTGTCCAGCAGAGCCCGGCTCCCGGGAGGTCCCCGCACACACGCCGTGCGCGCTCCCCGCATAGACACCCGCGCACAGCGCTCCGCCCCAACCGCCCCCAGCTGCCCAGGGCCACCTCCGCCCCCTGTGCCCGCCGCGGGTGAGTGAGTTTGGGGCCCAGGTCCGGGCGAGAACGGCAGTCAGGGGCTGCGCGGAGGAGGCGGCAGGACGCGCGCTCAGCCGCGGGGTGGCTCGCTGGCGGCGGGGCCGGCCGGGTCGCAGCGCGGACTTTGGGCCAGGAGCCGGGCAGCAAGGGCTCGGGCCCGGCAGGTGGCCGGGGTTATGGGCGCTGGTCCAGAGCGGGGTCCCGGTCTGGCCGGAGGGTGGGGGGCTTGCGGGTCCAGGAAATCCGACTGGGCTTGAGGGTCGGGGGTTAGATCCGGAGGGTAGGGGCCGGCGGGGTCTGTACCTACCGTCGTTCTGGCCGTAGCCCCAGCCGTGGTGGCCGGTCATGCCGCTGCTGTCCCCGCAGCCGTGCACCTGCCTGTTCCGCTCAGTTCCGCTGACTCCCGGCTGCGGCTCCGGCCCGCTCGCTACCGCCGAGCAGCCTCTTAAAGCTGCGGCGCGCGGGAGGAGCAGTTCCCCGGGGACCCGCCCCCCCAACCCCCAGCAGGGCTAAAGAGGCCAGCGGTGCCCCTCCCGCGCCGGCCCGCAGGCCAGTTGAACCCCAGAGTTGAGTCCAGGTGGGGGGGTCTGGGGACCTAAAGCTCTCTCCCTACTCCCCATCTCCCCTCCCCCGCCCTGGCTAGACGACTCTCCCTACTTTTCACGTGCACAGGCTCCCAACTGTACTGTGCTGAGGACTGCTCTGGTTTCTCCACATCCCATCCCATCCCGGGGCTTGTCCCTGAGCCGCAAATCCCATTGCCGGGGACCTGGACCCTGGGTCCTGAGTCCTCTGGGATTGGAGAGTCCCCTCTAAACTGCAAAGTGCATTGGGACCATCAGGTGTCCAGAACTGGAACCAGACACTATGGCAGGTGCTGGGCCAAGCTGTGGGTCCTTCCTGCCATCTAACTCTCTTAGCTACCCTAACATTGAGTGGTACTTCCAAGAGGCCTCTTTCACAGAGAGAGGGCTGAAGCCTAGAGAGGTAAATGATCTGCACAGCCTGCAAGGGATTCCCACCCAGATGGTCTCACTCTAGACACTGTACTCTTGACCACTTCTCTTTGGTGCTTGGGGCAGGGGTCCCATGGTAATGGGGGTCTAGGAGCCTGGGGTAGGAGAGGGGACAGGACTGGCAATCCAGACCCCTGACCCCACAGGGGGAGTGGGGAGGAAGTAGCATCAACCAGCGGGCATGAGGACAGATGGTCAAGAGCTCCCCCACAGAACCAAGCCTGAGACCCTGCCTCCCACCCTCTTCTTCTCTCCACTGCTTCCTCCTTCCCTGCAGGACTCTTTGCCTGTCCCTCTACAGCCTGCTGTTTGTCCTTCCTCTCCTTGCCTCTTGATGACCTTTGGCACACCTGCTGGGAACTCAGGCCTTCCACCCTGTACTTGACCTCACTGCCTGCCTTGGCCCAACACTTTCCCACCTGCAAGCCTTGGTCTTTGTCGTTCCCTCTTTGCCCGGGCGTCCTCTATCTTCCATCCACTGGCTTCAGGCCGCCCAATCTGATTCATCTTAGGATGTGGCCTTGTGCCAAGGATAGGCCTTGTCTCTGACTAGGCCTCAGCAGGCAGTTTTGGGGAGACAAATAGATGGGTGGATGGAAGGACAGACAAATGATCCCAGCCAGGGACCTGTACCCAACAGGAGGTGAAGGGCCATTTGACCTTGACCAGAGGAGACTATTTCAGGCCCTGCTCTTGGCCGACCTTGTGAAGGAATCAGCCATTTTTCTCCCTGACTCCCCTACATCTCTGTGGTTATCTCAGTTCCCCTCTTCTAGGCCCTGAACCTCAGTTCCCGCAAGTTAGAGTTGTGGAGATTAATCGACAACTGGTTGGCTGGGTCACGGTCAGTCAGTGACTCCCCAGCCCTGCCTAGATGCCTTTCTCTGACCCAGGAGCTGGAAGCCACCCTCACTAGAAATACGACTGCCAGGTGGCAGCAGGAGACTCACGATAGAGATTCAGGGGATGGGGCCTCCAAAATCAGCGTGTGACAGAGAATGCAACGTCGTCAAGGCCCCAGGTCTAAGCCAGAACTGTCGTCCTCAGACCAAGGAGACAAAAGCTTGCTCAGTCCCAGAGGAAGCAGCCACACTTCTCCTGGGGGAGTTATAACACTCTCAGTTCTGGGGAGGGGCTCCAAATGTAGCTACTTCATTGATTCACCTCTTCAGAGTGACCCAGGCCTACTCCATATTTATTTATAGTATTTAATTAAAAAGTTGGAATTATTCATATAGCTTTGCATCCAATTTCATCTGTACACCAGCCCTAGGTGGATTTTTGCCCCTTTTTACAAATGAGGAAAGTAAGGCTTAGAGAAGTTGAGTTAGGGAAAATAGCAAGTGACAGAGCAAAGACAAAAATCCAGTGCTGCTGAGTCCCTTATTCAACATGTCTAAAAGCACGGAGAGGGGGAGGAAGTGGATTTTAAATTTGATTGTCATTTGCATATATGCAAGACTTTCTCTGGAAGGACTTAAGAGAGGCTTGGGAGAGTGTTTGTCTCCCGGAAGGAGACTGGGAGACGGGAAGGGTGGAGAAGGTGCAGAATGGGGGGCGGGGGTTGGGAAAGGACACTAAGGCTTACTCCTTTGTACCTTCTGGAAGAAACTATTACCTCTTTAACAACCAAATACAAGTTGATCTAATTCTTTCCTTCCTGTACCCAGCAATTTTCTCCGGGTTCTGGAGTGCTGGGGACTCAGGCAGGTGAGAGGAGCCGATGCACTCTGCCCATTTCTGCCCATTTCAGGTGAAGCCCCCGTTACCCCAGCAGCCCATTCCGGTCACCTTGGGAAAGATGATACCCCCATTCAGGTGCCTCCTGTCTCAATTATGTGCTGTCTTTAAAAATGAATTGATTTCACTGCCCAGAAATTTACTCTTTGGTCTTACTGGCCTTAGTGGCTCCTGGATTTCATTGTTGTTTATAAGGGAGGGGGAGCAAGGGCAGGGGGTAGGTGGTATGAGGGCTATGATAAATGGGGGGGGAGGGGGAGGAGGGCAGAAGCAGCTTACACAGCCATATCTCATTCATCAAGTGACCTTGACCAGCTCTCACTCCCTCTCTCAAAGGTACAATGCCTTTGCTCTACAAGGTAATGAGGAGATTGTCCCTCCCTGCCCACCTCATGGGGATCCTGTGAGTATTGGTTGAGACAACAGATGTCAAATGCTGTTCCAACAAGTAGAGTCCTATGTACTGTATATGACTCTGTCACTGTATGTTATGCACAGGATCCACAGGCCAAGCCCAGAAGCCCTGTGGCCTGGAGACTCTAAAAGCAAAGTTACAGCTTTTTGTATTTTTTAAAAAAACATTTCCATTCCATGTATGTATGTATATGTGTACAAACAGTGGGATGGAATGAGCCCTGATATGGCTCCCAGCATACCTGGCTGTGGGACCTGGGGCAATTTACCTCTCTGAACCTGACTTCTCATCTATAAAATGGGAATGAGAGTCTAGGAGGCTAATAGGATGGTCAGATAACATGATATCTGTGAGACTCCTGGTGTCAAGGATGATGCCCTATGGTAAGCATTTCCCTGCACGATCAGCCTTGGAGAACTTCACACTCCGTAACTGCACAATGCTCTAATGTATAGATTATTTACAGTTTTCACTATGGTAAATGGCACTACAGCGAACATTCTTATTTATACATCGGTTCATGTGTGTCTGATAATTTCCTTGGGACAAATTGCTGAATGTGGAATTACCAAATCCGATGGTACACATATTGCCAGTAAGGCATTTGAAAATGAGAAGGTATGGTGGAAGTACTTTTCAAAATTTATTCTTTTGTTCAATACGCATTTATTGAAGACTTACTAATGCCACATTCTGGGCCAGGCATGGGTGATACAACTGTGAACATGATAGAGCCACACCTGCCTCAGGGGAGGGGTAAGCAAGAAAGACAAGAAATTGGCCAAAGAGCACCAGGATGAGAAGGGCAAGGATAGGCAAGGACAGGGAAGGGAGAGATAGTGGTGGAGGCCAGGGAGGGTGTCCTGGGGTGTGACTCATTCTTTCTGGCTGGTTTCCCACATATTGTAAGCTCTTCCAGGGCAGAGCTAGCCCCAGACTGCCTGGGAGCCCAAGGATCCAGTCTCCCTGAGCCAGGACCAACCAGGATGGGTAAAATAATAGATCTGAGCTGGGGTCTGGCCACATCTGTCGGGGTGTTTGTTTCTAATCCTCGTACCACCTTTTAATAGCTGTGAGGCTTTGGAATTGTACTCATTTTTAATGTAAGGCTCTCCAAACCTCTGCTCTCTTGTCTATGAAATGGGGTGAGCAACAGTATCTGTTGCATTGGGTGAGCACAAAATGAGGTGATGCATGGCAAGGGCCTGCCTGAAGATGGTAAGTGCTCAGTAAGTGGGGGTAATACTGTGGTTATAGGGCTCGGTTTTCCCACTTGTTTTGTTCAGTGGGGGGTTGGCCTAGGTCAGTGGTTTTTTGTTTGTTTGTTTGTTTGTTTTTAGATTTTTTATTTGACAGAGAGAGAGAAAGCTCACAAGCAGGAGGAATGGCAGAAGGGGAGGGAGAGGGAGAAGCAGGTTCTCTGCTGAGAGCCCCGATGTGGGGCTCGATCCCAGGACCCTGGGGATCATGACCTGAGCCCAAGGCAGATGCTTAACTGACTGAGCCAGGACCCCTAGGTCAGTAGTTATTAAACTTGAGTGTGCATCAGAATCACCTGGAGGGCTTGTTAAAACGATTCCCTGGGCCTCACCCCCAGAGCTTCTGATTCAACCCATCTGGGATGGGGCCTCAGAATTTGCATTTCTAACAAGTTCCAAGGTGATGATGATGCTGCTGCTGGTCCAGGACCACACTTTGAAAACCAATGGCTTCACTGAATGAGGCCATGGTTTCCTAGTTTGATTCCTAGTCTTATTCTCTGACCTCCACAATAGGAATAGGTCATCAGTGGGCCCTCAGTTCTCAGGTGGCAAGGTTTGTGTCTGATCAACCTCCACAGATCCAGCACAGGCACCTTTACATGCTATTACGGGTTGAATTGGGTCCTCCCCTCCTCCCAAAGTTGCTGAAGTCCTAACCTCTAGTACCTGTGAATGTGACAGTATTTAGAAATAGGGTTTTTGCAGATGAGATAAGATGAGGTCCTTAGGGTGAGCCCTGATCCAATGTGACTGGTGTCTTTATGAGGAGAGATCCAGATGGAGACATGAGAGGAGGTACCATGTGACCATGGAAGCAGAGATTGAAGTGTTGCAGCTGTAAGCCGAGCATTGCCAGCCAACCACCAGAAGCTAGAAAGGCCAAGAAGGATTCTTCCCTTCAGGCTGCAGAAGGA